GCTGACGGGTTGTTGCGCCGCAGCGCCCCCCGCACGCATCCCCGGCCGCTGCCGCTGCCTCGGACCCGCGGCCCCGCGCCGCTCACCGACCACGCGCGCGTCCTTGGTGGCTGCCAGCGTGGCGAGCTTGGCGCCGCGGCTGTGGCCGGCCAGGACCACCCCCTGCCGCACGTCCGCCAGCTGGCGCACCAGCGGGTGGCCCGCTGCCCTGCGAGGTCGACACCCCACGCCGCCGCGGCCTTGAGCGCGCTGTCTGTTGCGAGCCAAACGCATGCAGCGGTGGGCGGCAGCTAGGGCACGCGGGACGCGCACCGCGCCCCCTGCCGGCTGGGGGCCCCGCCACGCGCGCCACAAGGCTAACCCCCACGCGCCGTCCGCGCCCCTCCGCGGCCGCTCGCGCCCCCAGGCCCGAGCAGCGTTCGAACGCGCTTGGCGCCCGCACCAGTCCAGCAGCTCGCGCATGAGCTGGACGTGTGTGACGTCATCGAGGAGCTCAGTCAGGGCCTCACGAGTGTTGTAGCGCATCACAGTGTAGCTGGAGGGGGCGGACAAAGGGCCAGGAAGAGGAGGAGGAGGGCGCGGAGGAATCAGCAGGCGGGGGCGAGCTGCAGGGGGGACGAAGCATTGGGAGGAAGGGATTTACGAGGGCTCGTGAGCCGCGCAGCCCTCGGCCGCGCCGCTCGCCGCGCCTGCGGCGACCCTCGCCCCCCGCCGTCCGCCCCCGGCGCGTCCCCCCCGCGGACCGCAGGCATGCGGTTTTGAGGAGCCGCAAAGCGCGCCCCGCGCGCAGGGGCAGCGCGGGGCGCGGGGATGGACGCTCGGCCGCTCCCCGCTTCCCCCCAATTGCAACCCCATGCGCTAATCTGCGCCACCGCTGTGCGGGGCAGGGCGAGGGGGCCCCAGCCGACGCGGCGGGCGCGGGCGCCGGCGCGGCGCACCCCCAGCTGGCGAGCCGCCCTGCTGTGCTGGCGTATGCGCCCGCGTCCACTGTGAAGCCGCCGCTCCAGAGGACCAGCGGGAAGGGCGGCCCCAGGCCCAGGGCTGAGCCGCCCTTGGGGTACGTCACATCAATGGACACCTGAAAGGGGTTGTGGATGGATTGAAATCAGACTATTTTGTTAGCTTGATTACCGTGATTGAATCGACCAGTTCGATGCATTAGGTGATAGAGCGCGGGGTTGGGGCGTGTTTGAGCCGACCCGTTGGTTGAGGCCGCACGGCGACGCGCGGCAGGGCGCGTGCGACAGGGGGCTGGCGCAGCGCGCGTGTGTCATGTTGTGCGCCCCCGCCCTGCGCAGAGAGTTTTGCTCGCACGGAGGCGCGCCGAGGTGGCGGCGCGGCGGCGTGGGGGATGGGCCCCGCCCGCGGCCGCACCAGGCACTTGTCTCCGGCGCAGGCGGGGAAGCAGGACGTGCATGTGTGCTCCAGCCGCGGCAGCGACAGCGCGGTCAGCGGCCCTGGCCCCGCGTAGCCGTGCTGCAGCACGGCCTTTGGTGGCGTTGGGGTGGGTGGGTGGGTGGGCCAAACGGGCCCATGGGGGGGCCGGGGTGCTTCTAGCCATGCGTGCTGAGAGGGTACAGCGGACAAGGTTGGACAAATCTGTGCGGGGACAGCCGCGGCGCCACGCGCGCAGGGTGAGACGGACCCCACAGGCGACCGCGAAGAGGTGGAGGGCCTGTGCTGCCTGCCCCCGCGTGGTCAGCGGCCGCAGGGGCTGCGCACCTGCTGAACGGCGACGCAGGCGCGCACTGGCAGCTGCGCGGTCGGGCCGTCGTCCTGCGCCGCGCGGCCTCGCCCCGGGAGAAAAAGCACGGGAGCGGTCGCCGCGAGGGTGAGCGCTGCTCGTCGGCTGCACTCGTTTGGGAGGGCGGTGCAGCGCGGGCGCAATCGAGGGCGCAGGACAATGCGCCCTGCGACGCGTTGCTGGCGGCACTGTCGTATCTCGCGCCGCTCCCGCAGCGTTCTAGGCTGCATGTTATTATCACATGACCTGATGCATTTTTGCGTGTACGACAGCTACGCAAGACTGACTATGCCTACGGTTCTGTGTGAGATCTCTTCGCGGGATCGCGCTGTGCTTGTGCTGTAGCATATTGATCACCGGCGAGTCACCTGCGTTCGCATAACAACCACTAAACCGCTCGCCACGACCTGGACGCGAGTGCGGCGTTGCTGACGCGCCCATATCAGTCGCTCTCTGGTGTGCCTGTGTAGTCGTGGCAGTGGCTCGCGCCCATACATACCACCAGCCCCTTGGTGCCACAATCACGGCCTATGCGCCGCCTCCGGCGATTTGGCAGCTGGATCTGGCTCCACCGCGCGGAGGCGCGAGCGCATGCGGTGGTCGACCATGGTCAACGTTGCTACCCAGGTGCGACGGTAAAACTCTGAAGTGCCGCCCCTGCTTTCACACCCACATCGCACAACCCATGCACACATCCGAGGCGTCCGGCGGTGCATGTGCGCGCGCACGCCTCCAGCGCTCCTGTGTTGCGCTGGTGCCGCGTGCACGCTGCTCCCTCCTTTCGAGCCCCTGCCAGCCCTGGGCTCACGCTTGCCCTGCACATACGCTGTGCGCAACCGCCCACAAAACGTGAGGGCACCTCGGCCCGCCCTGCCACCAGGCCAGTACCCCCTCTCGTCCGCCCCTCTGGACCCCTGAAGACCAGGGAAACCTGCATGCATGGTGGCGGTGCTCGCACTGTTTGCCAACTGTGCTGCGTGATACCATGGGGCCGCGCGCCGCGTTCGCTGCCGTCGCTGCCACAGCCCGCCCTCCCGCCGCGCCCGCAGCCGGGGAGCGAGGGAAGCGCGCCCGCGCGCCGCGCCAGCTGCCGCGCGGCGGCATGCGAGCAGAGAGGGTGCGTGTAGCCATATTGCCGCATGCAGGGCTGCAGCTGCGCGTTCTGTCGATCCGATCACCGCTGCAACCCGCCCCTGCACTTGGCCCCTCCCAAGCATGGCCCGCCCCAACTGGGAAAAGTGTTGGGTAACATGTGTCAAGTGCTGCCTGAAATCCGCAAATAGGGAAGTCTGTGAGCAAGTTGGTGGGGCGGGCGAAAGCAGGGGGCGCCGCTCGCGCAGCCCGCCGCCGCGAGGAGCGCACAAGGCGGGGACGTGGGCTGCTGTTTCGGCTGCGGCCGCGCGCTCGGCCGGCGGCGCCGCGGGCCCCGCGCGCCGAGAGCGCGCCCGTGCGTGCCGCGCGCCCCGCGCGCCGCGGGACAGAGCATAAGGGCCTCAGCGATTCAAAAGGGTGGCTGCAGGGGCGGGGGGCAAGGAGCGCTCTGCGCAGCGAAAAAAGGCGCTTCGGGGCATCAACAATTTGATCAGGTGCGGCGCAGAAAAAAGCGCATCAGGTATCGCCAAGCCTGTTTGCCGCCACCTCCGTGGCGCCCCGCGCGCCTGCCCCGGCCCCCGCCCCTGCATCGTCCCCGCGGGCGGCCCGCGGGGGCTCCCAGAAGGGGCGAGGGCCAGCGGGCGCGAGGGCGGGGCCTTGATCGGCCCGAAAGCCAGGGGCGCGGCGTGCGGGCCGGGGAAGGGGCTCCTGGGGGGCGCATCACGGCCCAGCAAGCGCGCAAGGCCCGGCGGGGCGAGGATTGTGGGCCAAAGTCACGATAGGCAGTCGGCAACTTTGAAGCGTGCAGGGGATGTTGTGGGTTGAGGGTGAACCGGGGGCCGCAGGGGGGCGCGGTCCTTGGGGCGCACGCGCACATGCTTGCGCCTGGGCTTGGGGCCAGTGTTGACGCCCCGCACCGCGCGCGGTTTGTTGGGGGGAGAAGCACGATTCAAAGCGGCGCGTGGGCCGTTGGGTGGTGATAAGGCAGGGTGTGGCGGTTTTGGGTGGGGAGAGAGCGCCGGGCTGCCCCGTGGGCGACACACCGCCGCGGCCACCTCCTCTCCCCCAAATAGGCTGCCAGGTTGCCGGGCTGCTGACCGCGCAAGCGGCACGACGCGGCGGGGCGTTTGCGCTGTCTTGCCAGCGCAAGAGCTACGGGGCCGCGGGCGCGCGCGTGCGTGCGTCGCGCGTGCGGCAGGGGCCGGGAGGAGTGAAAGATTCGAGGATGGTTTAGAGCAGCGGCATCGGGTGCGTGTGAGTGCGCGCTGCGGCGGCGCGCTGCGGTTTGTGCGTGAGCGTGTGTTGGAATAAGCGGTGGCGGGGGCAATACGGGAGGCTCCGGGCGCGCGTTTTGTCGTGTGCACGCAGCGAACTAGGCCGGCAGGCGCCGCGGTGGGGGGCGAAGAGCGCGGGCGCGGGTGCGAGGTGGTGGCGCGCGAACAAATGCGTTGATCAATCATCGGGGCCGACAGAAGCCGCAGGCTTTGGGCCGTCGCAGCGGGCGCCGGGGCGGGGGCGGAGCGGGCGGCGGGCGCGCGGCGGCTGCTCTCCGCGCAACAGAGGGGCCGTGTCGTCACGCGCGTGGCGAAGGAGGCTCGAGAATGATGAAAACGCGCGCGAGGCCCGCGCAACGGCGGCGGCGTCTTTCCTACAGATCGTGTGTGTTGGATGACAGGCAGCGAGACGCGCGCGCGCCCGCCTGCGCGGTGGCGGCTGCCATTGCAGTTGAGCCGAGAGCGGCCGGCACGGCCGCCTAGAGGAAGGCGGCCATGCCAGCGCGCCGCCGCGGTGGCGGGAGCGCCCGCACCAGGCTGCTGCATCCGTTGCGGGGGCCGGCAAAGTGGCGGGCAGCCGCCGCGCGCCAAGGGACGCACGCCGCGGCTTGGCGTTTTTGCGCGAGCGGGCCCGCGCGCGGTCTTGCGTGTGCCAACGGGGCGCGGTAAGAGTCGTAGGAGGGGTATTAAGGTTCCGTAAAAGGGAAAAGCCGCGCCACAACAGGGTTCCTTAGATGGGGAAAGCCGCCCCACAACAGGGCCTGCGCCGGCGTTGCCGGCCCAACGCGAAGGCGCCCGGCTCAACAATCAAAAAGAAGACAGAGGCACGCGCCAGCTGAGCGCCGGCCGAGCGCCGCCCGCGGCGCGGGCGGGCGCGCGCGCGGCGCGCCTCACTGCCAGCGCGCCGCGCCCAGGCCCATCTGCGACGCCCCGCGGCCCATCTGCGGCGCGCCGCCGCTCGCGTCCAGCAGCTGGCTTATCAGCTCCGTCGCGGCCTGCAGCTGCTGCGGCGTCCCCGACAGCGCGAGCGCGCCCGCGCCGCCGGCGCCGCCCGCGGGCGCCAGCCAGAACGCGGCGCCCGACAGCGCGCTCAGCGTGGCCGCGTGGCTGCAGACCAGCTGCACCTGCTCGGGGCTCTGCAGCGCCACCTGGCAGGGCTGCTCGCCGCCGCCCTGCAGTCCGGGCAGTCCGGGCAGGTCGACGGGCCCCAGGGCTCCAAACCCCATGTCGCCCTGCGCGACTGCCGCCAGCCCTGCGCCGCCGGGGAGCGCCCCCGCGCCGGGCAGTCCGCCGGCGCCGTTTATGGCGCCCGCGCCGTGCGGGCTGTGCGGGCCCCCGTGGTGGTGGTAGATCGGGGCCCCGGCGGCTGCGGCGGCGGGGTAGCCGGCAAAGCCGACGGGCGGCGCTATGACGGGCAGCGGCGCGCTGTTCGCGCCGCGCGGGTCGCCGAGGTGCGGCAGCTGCGCGTGCGCGACCTGCTGCTGCTGCAGCGCGAGCGCGGGGGCCGCACCGCCGGCCATGATGACGGGGAGGGGCGCGCTGGCGGCGGAAGAGTAGAGCGACATGCCCGGCGGCCCGAACCGCGCCGGCGACAGCGGGCCCAGC